GCAAATCACTTAACCCCAATTGCCTAAAAATAAAAAAAATAACAAAATAACAAAAAACAAACACAAAAAAACACAGCCAGTACAATAACCTGGTGGCCTTGCTTGCCTTCCAAATATTAAAAGGTTGCACTCAACTGTAACTTCTAAGTTCTCTTTTAAGTAAAAAATTCTAACATTTGAACTAATTTAGTAGAAAGGATAACTTACTGTTAATGGTCCTCTTTCTTACCCAAAAGATAACCATTCCAGATAAAATTCCGCCAAATGCAGATTAAATTCCTCTTCTACATAAGCATTCCCTGACTATTCTACTCCTTACTGATTTCCCCCCTTCCCTGAACTCTTCAAACTCTAGTCTATATTACACAATTTAAGCATTTAGTTTTATAGAATCTTCATAAAGTTCTCATGTACTCTCTGAGAATCTTCTAAAGGGTGGAGATAGAATCTAGAAAGAGAAATCAAAGGCAAATTTGCTGAAGACTTTAAGACATCATATTATCCATATATTCAGAATTACGATCCATTGTGATTTAACATACAGGAATAAGAAAACAAGAAACATCAAGACAGGTTTGGACTACCCTAGTTAGATCATCAAAATGCAATGTTACCATAACTAGACTCAGATCATACTATTATTATGTATTCTTGTTTCTTCTAGAGCCCATTAATAACCATAACTGTGCAAAGCACAAGGGAAAATGAAAGGGCTGGAAGAATGTTCTCCCTGATAAAATCCAGAAGAGGGGTGGAGTTCCTTCAAGAAAAATGGAAGAAATGCTTCAAGAGGAAAACCAATGGGAAAAAATAATCCCAGGAGGCAAAAGGGAATGCAAATTTGTAAGACATTAGTTGGAGGGGCAAATAAATAAAGTAGCAGAAGAGAACCACTGTACCAAAACCAAAGCGTAATAAACTGGTTTATTGATAGTTGACATTTATGTCATGTTTAAGGTTTGCAAAACACTTAAGCACACAATTGTTTGAATTAATCCTTGTTAAGTCAGATATGATTAACAAATGAGGAAACTGAAGCTCAGAAGAGTTTAAATGACTACTTGATCTTCTGAGGAAGGGCCTCAAGGAACGATGTAAGATGCACAGCTGCTAGTATTTGAGCAACAAGCCCGGTAATTGTTCTGGTAATTGCCAGTTGTGATGAAGGGCTACCAGGCAGTCATGATGACCTGACCAACAATAGCTAATCCTTTCTCACAAATATGCACCCAGGATTTGAAGGAGAGGTATCTGAGACTTTTCAGTCTCCCCACTGCCTGCCAAACCAAATCCCACTTTCTGGTTAACCTGGCTTCAGACTTGGTGAGGAGAGGGAAACAAAATGGCCACATAGAACCACCAAATCAGATGATACAGTTGCAGATACTATGTAGAAAAAATATAATCATTGAATATACCCCGAAGTACACAGGAAGCTTTTATATAGTCTGAAGGTATTAGATATACACAAAGAAAATTATTGATCTTAAAAGGAAGTACAGTGACTTGAGCTTGACAATAGGATAAACCTTAAGACCCCAAAAACATTTCTAAGTGGTGGTATACCATCATATATCAAATTACACTTGTAAAAATCTGAAACCCTGAAATGCCTGAGAGCTGTCCAAGTTCACACAGTTATTAAATATCAGATTAAGGATTTGAACCAGAGTTTTCTCTCAGAACAAAGCCAAGCAAAGAAGAGACAAAAAGAATTGCAGGAAAAAGGAATGCTGTTTTTGCCACGTATCCACTAGGGCCTGATATACTAAGACCCCTGACAGAGGGTCAGGATGGATGGGATAGGCAGGTTTAACTGCACGTTCTTAGTCCTTACTCTAGTTCAGGGTTCTTTCCACTAAGAGGTTGTTAGTAGAAAGAATCCTGGACTTAGAATTATAAGAAATCTGGATTCAAAGCTTGCCTCCAAAAATCCACTAGCTATGTGACCAGGGTCATGTCTCTTTACCTCTTGGTGCTGTTAAGTTTATGAAGTACAACTGTACTTACCCCAATGCAGTTGTTGTGATGACTGAGATAATACAGGCAAAACATTTTCTAAAATATAAAACTACATAAATACCAGCCACTATTATGTGACCCCGAGGCATAGGGGATAGAAAGTTTCCTATCAAGATGCTCAGTGTCTTGTTACAAAGACGTGTTTGTAGGGGATTATTGGCCACCTTTTTGTTTTGCACCAATAGAAGGGGAAAGAGAATGATATTCCAATAGGGTTATAGCCCTCTAGCCCAGGAGGAAATAAATATAGGGAGGACCCTCAGCTTTCAGGACATTTGCTAAATAAATAAAGGTCTTTGTACTAAAAGTAAATCAGTTGATAAATTCTTTAAGTAGAAATGATCGACAGGAACCCTGGAAGAAGTAACCATTTGAGTTTCTGATAGATGGGAGTATAAGGTAGGCATGATCTTCCTACAATTCTGGACGAACAGGTATCAGAGTAAGTTGTGGGCTAACATTCTAAAGGAAGTTGGCCTAAAAGGAATAGGCCCCACAATAGAAAACAAAATTCCGACAAAAATGTGAATGAACTTGCTAAGAAAAAAGGGAACCTATTTAAAGACTTATGTGACCATGTAGGGAATGCACTGACAACTTCTGAAATGACTTACATGGAAGTTATCAAAGCAAAAACACATGTAGCAAGGATGAACACAAAGAAAAGCATGGTCCTGTAAGAACAGTTGTTGGGAACCAAATCTTACAGGTTGAGTTTGTTGAGAAGAAAAAGGTATTTTTATCTACACTTTAGTGAGGAAAAAAAAGGAAACTCAATGAGAAAAAGACGATGTTCTCATGTAAGTGATAAAAATAATAGAAATGAGACCTATTCACTTCCTATTTTGCTTGTTTTTTCTCCAAAAAAAATGACCTTTCAAACTGTTTGTATCCCCAGCACTTAGCACCACTGAAGAGGTGGCCCTTAGTAAATGCTTGTTGTGGGGCAGCGGATAGAGCACCGGCCCTGGGGTCAGGAGGACCTGAGTTCAAATCCTGGCCTCAGACACATAACACTCAGTAGCTGTGCTACCCTGGGCAAGTCACTTAACCCCACTGCCTAGCAAAAACAAAACAAAAACAAAAAAAAAGCTCGTTGATAGAAATTTGGTTATCAGAGGGTTGAAATCCAAGACAATATTGAAAACACCTCGCTTCCTAAATCAAAGAACTGTTACCAAATATCCAAATATATATTACTATATCCAATGGCATTAGATCACGTATGTGGCTGCTGAAATGAGTTTTGAGAGGTTGTAGACACCAAGAGACATTCCACAAAACTGTGGACCTGTAAATCTTTCCATTTTTAAGGAGAGTAATAAGGTGGGTACACATTGTTCAAACTATAGGCTAGTAGCCAAACAGAAGGGAATGGGTAAGACTGGTTACTACATGGTGTGGCATTATCTTTAATTCTCTATGAAGTCTTCATGCTAAAAAGCACCAAACATCTCCATTTAGCATGTAGAGCACAGCCATGTGTTTTCTAGAGGGAAGGCAAAAAACTTTTAATGTACAGTTTCTGCTTGTTTCAGTAACGACAACCTCACCATCCCAGGGAAAATTTAGGTTTCTGTAAGTTTATCTTCTGTACCAGTCACTACTTTCTACAAACCTCATTTTAAGTCCCACATTTGTTGCCCAAAACATTCCTTTATTTATTCCCACTCCATGTGAGAATGATTTTTAAGGTAAAGTGTTACTATACCACCTAGGGATTGTGTAGTAAAGCTTTAACTTTAGAATTAAGGCCCTTTTCCATTACTTCCTCCCCCCCCCCCAAAACAGAGCAGGTAGGAGAAATTTAGCAGAAGAATTCTTTATAACAGGCTTATTTAGCTGGCTTACAAGGTAAACCTGTATCTACCTCTAGGACAACAGGGGTATTTTGGATGGGGGAGTAATATTTTGTAGCTTAACTGGCTACAGCAGAAGTTTCCTAGGACTCAAGTGTGATAAGAGGAAAAAGCCCTGGCTTTGGAATTAATGGACCTGGGTTCAAATTATGACTCTGGACCCTTATTATCTCTGTGATCTTGGGCAAATCATTTAAGCTAATTTCCCTGAGACTTGAGAGCGCAGACTACAAGGTTCTCTCCAGTTACAGATTCATGATTTTATTGGAAACTGGAAAAGCTCAGAATTTGTACAGGTCAGCCACCAGGTAATGATTTTTTCAGTCAACGACAAACTATTTAAGGTATCTAGTCTACCTTGTCTGCTGGAAACATTAAATACTGAAAAGCTACCATAACTTGTTCGGTAGCTATCTTAAAACGTACCCACAAGTTGATCAGCAATGAGCATAGTCAAACAAGAAGAGATCACTAGACTTGTCTAGAAGGGGTGTAAGCAGACTAATTAATTTTAATCTAACGTTAAATACCTACACGCAAAGTACTAGACTAGGTGCTAGGGATACAAAGACAAAGGTCCTGCTCTTGAGCTTACATTCAAACTGGGGAGAAGAAGACACAAAGGAAAGTAGGATAGGCAAAGCAAGGAAATGTCCAGATAAAGTGAGCTGGCTTTCCCCTTGAAGGGAATGATTACAAAAGTTAGAGATTAGGAAGAGGGGTCAAAAAGAGAAATCCTTTTCAGGCAAGAGGGAAGGGATAAATAAAGGCACTGATATGAGAAGAGGCTGGAGAAGACCATGGGTAGATTCTGTGTGGATCAAACTACAGTAAGCTGGAACTGCTGGGTCTGAATACCAGGATTGTCTATTCACGGGACAATGAGAGCTAGGATTAAGTCTATCAGATTGAGAGCTGAAAGTTAAGGTAGTTGTAATAGGGGTGAAAAGGAGAGGACAGATGTCCAAGATGTTTCGGGGCAGAATATCTCCATTTCCTGCATCAATTCTGAAAATTAAGACGTCAAAGAATTTGGTTAACAGGGCCCTTATTATTTTTAGGATAATTTGACATAATATCATTCATATTTAAAAAAAAATCTCTGAATGTCACTAAACAATGAATTAAGCAAACTTTTATTGAAGCATTAAGTTTTGTGGTACAGATTTTAAAAATACATTTTAACTGATTAAAGTCCAACACCATGAAGAGAGAAATTATGACACCAAAACTTCCCCTCTTCTAATCATACTAGATTAATTTAGATTAATATCCATTCAACAGCTTTCACTTTTCTATCAGAGTCTTATGTTTTCATACTCATATAAATTTGTGCATTTTTCAACTAGTTAGGAAGGGATCTTCAGTATATCTTTAAAAAAAAAAAATCAGACCTCAAGCCAACAAATGTCATCATCAAATCTCTTGGGACACTGTTCAAGAACAAAATATCCACTTGAATTATTGGTCCTCAAAAATATCAAGCACCAAAAAGTATCAGGTGCCACATTACTTACAGATTACAGAATCAAACTGACTGAGTTGGTAGAATGCTTCTTCAATGAAGCCTTTAGTCAATAACATGCTTAAAATAAAAGTCAAAACAGTGTTCCAACCACTTGATTACTAACCAAGCAGATTTTTTTAAAGTTTAGAAACACTAAAAAAAAAGTGTTTCATTTATAAATACGGAAGGAACAAAACACCACTGCATCAATCCAGAAAGAGTCAAAACAAAATTGCGAGGACAAGAGGGAAATATCAAATTTAAGTTAATTTTGCTGGTCTCACAGCTTCTAAAATCCCAGTTATTTGCTGAAAATGCCAACTCTTGAAAGCCTGCATCTACTAGTAATCCATTAAATGACCATTTTTGAACATGCCTTGTTTTTTATGAATAGCATTTTACTTCACTGTCTGTCCAGATAACCTAGACAGTTCTCACTCTGTGCAGTCATTCACTTAATGCCATCAAATCATGGTTAAAGGAATCACCACATTAATTAAGAGGAACAACAGATGAAGTCACAACACTATCAAATACAGCATAATAGTCTCATGCACCACAATATCACAGGACTTTCAGTCACAAGATAAAAAGGCATATCGATTCTGCTTGGAACAACAAAATTAGGTTAACAGTATATTGTTTACTCACAATTAGGTTGAAATGGCTGCTAAGAAAAAAGTTATGGTGAATGATCCAAGCTGACCAGCATATCTAGTCTGGTAAATTCCATATCCTTTACACTAAATCTCCCTATTAAATTTGTTGATTTAAACAAAAATACTAAGTATTGAAGGTCTGTGGCTATACATTTGGTGCTCTACTAACTGTGGAGTATGGAAATGGCATAGTTAGAGTTTTCCTAACTCTGCCAACTCACTCTAATCTTAATCAACACACCCTGGAGAAAGTCTTGGTGCCCCACCCCCCTACCCTTGCCAATCACACATGAAAGAGACCACCAAACCCACCTTGACCTGAATTAAGATTTGAACCAAGGTTTTTTCCCCCTAAAGGTGAAAGGCTAATGTTAAACTCAGTGTAACAATATATTGCTCATTTTATAAAGGGGAGGGGGAAAATCACTGAGCTTAAAGAACTAAAAGTTACAGGAAGCAAAAGTAATGTTCCAATACTCAAAATTCATATAATAAAACAAAATCATCAGCTGTAATAATCATTAATTTTCTTAAGAAGGTAAAATTTCTAACTCCTCAAGTGCAAAGAAACGTATTTAAGTAGGAATTAGTTTCATTAGAATTAATAGAGAAAAATGTGGTCTAGAAATTGGAAGAAACTGCCCATAAAAAATATCTGGCAGCAATTTAACAGAACAGTCCCAGATGATTTAGGCTGAGGCCAACACCTAATGAGGACGAAAGCCTTGTCTGTGGGGAATTTTTGGTGATACCTGGAGAAAAATTACACCGTGCATAATCCTAATTGAATTGTTTTTACAAGTGTTGTAAAGTCTCATACAGTAAAAGTTTTTCTCTACATGCACTTCAAGTTCACAGCAAGAGTGGCATAGAATGCCTAAACACAGAAGAGAGCAGTCATGCAAGATATCTAACTCCTTGATATAATAATGCATACAATTCAAAATGATTATACTATGATTACATCTAGGGCTTTCCGCAACTACAAGGCGATGGGTATGGAAAGCATGGCCCCCTGTATCATTAACTAGAAAGCTGCCACCACCTTCTATTTGTGTTCTCTTTTTGCGTTTTTTCTTCATTTTTCTTAATCAACTCTGCTGTTGCTGCTGATTCTTAGCAAAACTGGTAAAAACGAAATTGTAATCATTGAACTGAGCAATCTGGCGATCAAGACGTTTAAACCCTTCAATCTTTTGGGCCGAAGAAAACACTGTGCGACATTTAGAACTCTGGGGGGGGAAAAATTAAGAAACCATTTAGAATATACAAAAGTAAAGGTAGTTTTCAAGCAATACAAGCATTTTTTTTTTTAAACTCAGTCTTATGTTTTCATAAGGACTGTACTGGGTATTTAGGTTAGCTTCTTAAAAGATACATTTAAACACGGTCATGAGACATCTTGGAACCTCACCAGGCTTGAATTATGTTTAAAAAAAAAAAAAAAATAGGATGGTCATGAGACTCCACTATTAGTACTTATTCACTCTTATAGATCTCACGGTAAATTTCAGCTCCTTAACAAGTACAGGATTGTTTATCTGAAGAAATATCACATCTGTTGCTTCCACTTGCTACCTATCCAAAATATTATTTCTGAACCCATATATTTTTACTAGAAAACAGTAATTTCAGATAAATGGTATTCTTGAAATAACTGCTCTCTACCCCAAGGTTAATATGGTAACAACAATAAAACAGGTTACCTGATTTACAAAGAGGGTGGTCACAAATTTTCCAGGTTTGAAAACTTCCACTACTTTCCTGATCAGGTCATCGTAAGAGGTCTGACCTATGTTAGTTTCAAAGCTAACATAAGAAAATTCTGGTTCTGGAGTGATGTGAATAGTCCAATAAGTTCCCTTACAGAAAAAAAATTATTTTTCTTTAATAACAGGTAACAGTTCAAAATTAAGTGGCAAATGCTGACTACTTTGCCAAAGCAGAATTACTTACATCCGATTTCATTCCATTCATTGAATAACCACAAGGATTGAACATTGTAGCATCAATGACAGAACCTGGTATCAGGTCACGAATTCCACTCACCTAAAATTTTAAATCAGAAATTTAGACTTAATGAAAAGTGAAAAACAAACAAACAAAAAAAAAACAAAAACAAAAACAAAAAAAAACAAACCAAAACCAAAAACCAAGCAACATAAAAAGGAAACTTAGAAACAAACATTAAGACAAAAAAAAAAAAAAAAAAAAAGCTTACACGAGTGACATCATTTGCAGTAACACCATCTTTCATGTAGAACTGGTCCATAACTGCTGGGTCAAGCTCACTCATCAGAATTTCCAGTGTCTGATCTGGCTGATTAATAACCCGACTCTCTGGAAAATCCAGAGTGTACAAGTACCTATAAAGACCAAAATTTTAACTTGCTAATGATGTAACTGACATAATTCTTAAAAAAAAAAAAAAAAAAAAAGCAAAAAATTACAAAATTATATTTAGACATACCAGCAATCAGAATTCATACGCCCCATACAATATGCTGCTCCATCTGTTGAGGAAGGAACAAAATTTTGAAATCCAATCCATGTTAGTAAGTCTTATTATCATCTTTCTATAATTAATCTTGAAATAATTAGGCTCATATCTTTTATCTATCACAGGTTTACAGTTATCAGAAACAAAACAGCCACAACAGAAAACATGTAAACATATGCAAAGATACCCTCTGATCTCTATCATTCCTCTAATTTGATCTCTGTTATTCATGGCTACAGAAAAAGGACGTGAATAAAACGAACACTATGAATAGGTTAGATATGGCTGAATTCCAACTGCTATAAAAAGAGGTCTGATTCATCTACATGGCATTGGTGGTGCCGCTCTAGACTAAATAAAAAATAAAAATAAAAATACCCAAACTAGACAAGAAAGTATTTATTAAATGTCGACTAGGTGCCAGACACCATATCCCCCACACCCACAATCAAAACCATCCTTGAACTCAAGGAATATATGTATATTCACATGGAAAAGGAACATACATTAAAGGTATCTAACAAAATATACAAAGTATTCAAAAATCTCAGTGCAGATTTAAGCTACTAAAGCTTAAAAGTATGCTACATTTTAAATATATAAAAAATATCTAAAAACAGACATATAAAATATATAAATTTATATAAAAATTTAAAGATATATATATAAAATATATATATTTTATATAAACAGAACATAGAGAAAGCACATATAAAGCAAGCTGAGGGAGGAAGAATGGGGAGGGGAGAGATGATGGGCAACTATAAATAGGACCAAGAAAGGCCTCATGCTTGAGCTGAACTCTGAAGGAAACCCAAGAATCCAAGAGGTGGAAGTGAGGTGGGAGAGTATTAGAATTATGGGGAACAGCCAGTACAAAGGCAGAGAGAAGAATTACTTCATCTGTCAGGTGTGAATAGCATAAGAGGGGAAAATAGCTGGCCTGGAAAGCATATAAAGGAAAATAATGTGGAAGAAGGCACAGACAAGGGTTATTATGGGATTCAGGTTGGAGAAATCTTTAAATGCTCAACAAACGTTTCTATTTGATCCAGGAGGTAATTTCTATGTATGTGTTTAAGTTTTATGTATGAGACCAAAATAGGAGCTGGGAAGGTGGGATGGAGTTTAGCCATGTACCTTAAAACATGAACTAGAACCTTTTTTTATGTAACACAATATAAAACTATAACAAATATCTCTCTTGGAAGATTCTATAATTCAAATGTCTAACCTAATTTTTATTTATTGTAGCAAGAGTACATTATCTGTGAATGGAATAGAGGCCTTAGCAATCAAGCACTTTTGGCCTTAAGGTATTTATTCCCCCTTGCCTTCTTTTCTTAAGAAAAAAGGTACTTCTCAATGACTTATACAACCACACTGCAATTCAAAGTAACTTTCACTCACATTACTAAATTGATAATTTCATGACTTAAGAAGACATTTATGGTACAGTGGAAAGAGCCACAAATCAGGAGTTAGAAGCTGTGGATTCTAGTAAATCACTTTGCTTCCTTGGGCAAGTCACTAAACTTTTGGGGGCTTCAGTTACCTCATCTCAAAATAAAAGTGACAGGAATAGTTAAATCTCTAAGGTTCCCTTTTCTTAAGTCTATGATGATGTTTAAAAATCTAATTTCCCCATCCTTGTAATTCATACTAATTTAGAATGGCATAAAATAAGGTTTGAAAAAATAAAATGAAATACATATTTTCTTAATGTTTCATTTGATACTGTAGAAATAATTAGGTCAGGGCACCTAGGTGGGGCAGTGGATGGAGCACTGACCCTGAAGTCAGGAGAACCTGATTTCAAATCTGACCTCAGACCAAACACTTGACACTTACTAGCTGTGTGACCCTGGGCAAGTCATTTAACCCCAACTGCCTAAAAACCAACAAACAAAAAAACCAAAACAAAACAAAAAAAAGACTAGGTTATTGAGCTTATACAATGACCAAGAATACCCCAGACAGATTCAGATGTTTGCTGAAAAAAGGACATTTCAATTCAACTAATTCACAATGGCAATCCTAAAAGTATGGTGTAGTGGACAGAATGGTGGACCAGGAAGTAAGAACTGTCCAGGTTCAAATCCTATCTCTAACACTAAACAGATGTTTGACCATGGTCAAATCACAACCTTTGTGCTTCAGTTTCCTCATCTATGAAATAAGGCTGTTAATTCTTAAGAGTATTTGATAATATATGTAAAACAATTCTCAAACTTCAGTGCTAAATGATTGTCAAGTTACTTTGAATAGGTATCTTGCTAAATAAAACAGTAGTAAAATTATCCCACATAGAGAAATCTATGGAATGAAAAAGTTAGGTGTAGCTAATAAAAACCTTAGAATTATTTCAATGAGGATCTTTTTCTGTTAGTGTGTGCTGACCATTATAAAATTTTCAGAATTTTCTATAGTTCAACACCCATTAAGAAAAACTAAGTAAAATATATGCTTTGTCTTACTTGGGAAAATTTCATTAAGGAATTCTACTTCTTCCTGGAAATTCCTGTGTGGGTACTCCTGGTGGGAAGGCTTCATGAAATTCTTACGAGAATAAAAGAAGCTCTGAAAAGCATAAACACAAAATTTAATTAAAACCCCACATTAATGTTACGAAAATCTCAAACCATAATTATACCATTTCACCAGAAATAACTGTCATAGCGCTTTAGAATGAAACTCCTATAAATTCCATTTCTTTCCTTCCCATAAACTCACAATCTAATTTATGTAATTATACTTAATTTTTTGATACTTAAAAATTTGATACTTTTGATTCTTAAGCTCCTTGAGATCAGAAGGTTTATACTGATTGCCGCCTTCTGGGCTTAAAGAATGTTGGTGATATCTATAATTATTTCTGGATATTTTATTTAAAACAACAGTTTGTGATTAAAGCAAGCAATCTTTTCTTTGGGATAGAAATTTAAGCTCAGAAGGAGGGGGAGGAAGAAAATAAACTGGTATCAATGTTAATGCAAATGGGTAGTTTGAGGGTGGAGGAGGTGTCTTGTTCCAAAGTAATTGTTGGATTGTTGAATCACACTTGACAAGGAACAACCACATTCTCAGAACTGGACACTAATGTAAGCAGGGTTACAAAAGCCAATTTCACACACAGGAAATTAAGAAGAAAAAATCCCAACCCAACTTTCATGTCCAACCAACAACCTTAAAACTGTGTGCTGTTGATTCCCAAAGGATAAGATAATTGAATGACTTGGTCAAACATCACACTTTAAAGAAATCATAGCACTCCCTTTTCTACTAACAGGCGGTCAAAGAGCATTATCTTTGTATTAAAGAACCTAATAAGATATTAGCTGATCTAACAAGGTTTATAATTATTTTAATGATATGAAATGAAATATAAAAGCCAAGAATTACCATTAGTGTTTATGACCTAACTTAGTAGAAATATAATTAGTGGAATGATTAATATCAACAGTGGAAAGAATTCCTCCTTCCACTAATGATATTAATAAAAACAGAAGATCATCATCCAATCCTTTAACCAAAATTTTAACTATATGAAAAGCCACTCTTTAAAAACTTTCCTGGAACCTACCAAGAACTTATTTTAATACTATGTTGTATGGCTTACCCCTACCCACAAGAAATGCTCTTTCTACTACAAGAACACAAAGTAATTTCATGAAGGCATCCAAGAAACGATGTTTTCCTTTACTCTCAAATTCCCTATAATTTACAGTATCTATGTTATTCATCTGTAAATATTCTACATAGCATTATTATTGACATTCAAATTTTAAAAGCAGAATAAATATTTCTATTCTAGCATGAAAATGTTTTGTTTTGGTTTTTTGTATACTTACTTGAATTGAGTCAAACCCACTGTACTCCCTAGCAAGCTCCAACAGGGGGACCAGTGCTTGCAGTAAGAGGGTGGTACCACATGTCTTCAAAATGAAACGTCTCTTGGAGACAAACATGCTACTCTCACTGCAGGTGGTGAGAAAAAAACCCAAGACAATAGTTCAGAAGTTTAAATCATCATACAGAACATTAACTGTCACATTAGGCAAGTGCTTGTTGAGAGAAGAAACATTTTACGCTCAAAACTTCTACAGTCTAGATTTTGTCTACAAAGTGAAAAGTATCATACAAGTGGCTTTTTAAAGACTAATTTCCCAGAGAGTACTATTCACATGTAAGATCCCCTTGATGTAACGTGATGTAATGCACAAAACAGATTTGTTCATTAAAGTCTACAAATAATTCAGTACCTAATACGGTATCTGATTAGCATAATTTCTTCAAATTAAAAAACAAGCAAATAAAACTAGCCATGATCATCAGTCTCCATATATTGATTATCCTTAAATGTGCTTGTGAACTCAAAAAACACCACTTTTTGTACTTTCACAGTGGCAGAATTTTGGGGTTACTCAGGAGAGCTTAACTTCTCTATTTCACTAATCAACAGGGAAAAAGAGTTGGGCTTATTTTGAATTGTACCTTAAAGAAACTGCCACTATGGAAAAGAGTGATTTGCCAGATTTCATTTACTTTTTACTGAGGAAGTGGTCACTTAGTCAATGAACTATTATTTAGCTTTTAAATACAGGTGTCCCAAAAGTTGTACTGCAGTTTTAAGCTAATCAATCTTTGAAAGCTTTATTTGACTCCTCTAAGGTCAGGATCAACCAACAAGAAAAGCTTTCTAGTACAGGCTGAAAATTAATAATATAAATGTTACCAATCAACAACACTTACTCCTTACTGTGTTGTTCATCACTGCTTTATACCAACATTTTGGTAATTTTAGTAATAAAATATTAGTATAAAGAACTCATCCAAGTCCACCAGTTTTTTCATTTTAGTGGAGATAAAAGAAACTTGAAGTTCAAAAAACTTAAGTGACTTATCCAAGGTACCTACTTTACTTGGCAGAACCAAGACCAAAAAAAGTCTAAACCTTGGGATTCCCAAATGAAGCACTACGGCCTCCTTCCCCTGTATGCTAAGTAGCAGGATTTCTTTTTTTTCTATGGCTGTTTTAGATACTACCATTTAGGAAGAGGAAGACTTCCCCTAGGTCTATAATTCCAAAACACATTCTGCAAATGGTCACTGGTATCACACAGGGTGGTCCCTAAAAGCCTTTTAAAGCTTAAAATTACACTAAGATTTTTGGGACACCCAGTATTATAGATAGGCATAAATAACAACCAAGATAGTACTTAGAAATTTTTTTTAATGGAAAGTAATCTTTTAGTTATGCCTTAGCAATTCCTGTTTATATTGCACCCTATGATTTAAGTGTTTCAGAACTAAAATGAGAAATAACTATATACTTTTAAATAAAAATATAGTTTTACCTGAGTACATAAGCTTCCTGCTTGTCAGTTTTTGTCACACTTATGATTAAACAATGCACATTCTCCAAAAGTTTGTCCCACTCAAACCTATAAAGAAAAATTTACACAATTAGTTTGTATAACCTTAGTCCCTTGACTCCCTGCTAATACGTATTATAGAAATCCATCTTACAATTAGGGAGGGGACTGTACCATCAATTTTTCTTTCTAGTACCCAAAATCTAAATCTGGGCAACTGCAGTTCAAACAATACCAACTAATGTACTGATAATTGTTTGACATTTATGTAGTTGTGAGTGGACTTACTGTGACCATAACAATGCAAGTTTCCTTATTTTGCTCTTGCTAGAACTTTTTTTAAAATTCTAGTCCTATATACCACCCTTTGAAAGTAATATGAGGCTGCTTTATCTATGAAAATATGTTAAAGCATACTTTTCTCCATGACACAGTATGCAAAAGGGAGCCATCTAGTTTAAAAGTCCCACTAGTAGTTATGTACTCTTAAGGAGATCAAAGATGGAAAGTTCCCAAATAGGCCACAAAGTTCATAAAACTTCCCTGTTTTGACAAAGAATTGGAAATAAAAGTAAATACCATTTGAGTAACTACCATCTAAATGGTAGTATACAAATATGAAGAAATGAAATTACCATGTTGTAAGATATCATGAATATCAAGAATTCAGAAAAAGCGTGCGAAGATACGAATAAGGTAAGCAGAACTAAGAAAATATTATACACAATACTGTGTAATTACTAATAATGATAAGCATGTCCCCAAAAGATGATAAAATTACCGCTTTCTCCTTTCTTTGCTGCTGTGGAGAACCAAATATGAATATGACATATTCCTTATATCAATATGAAGTGATGGACTCATGGTACTGAATGAGGTTGTTTGTTTTTGTTTTTTTTAAACTCAGCCAATGTAAGAATTTGTTCTTCCCAACTGCTCAAACTTGGGGGAGAAGAGAAGCTGAGAGGTATGATAGCTTTACTAATAAAAACACTTAGTTTTTTTGGTGTTGATTTAATTTCACCAAATTAAACTGTGACTAGTTCCAAAGGTAGATATAAAATCAAATGCAAAAAAAAAAAAAAAAAAAAAAAAACCCAACAAAAACCAAAGACAAAAACAAAAAACCTCTGCCATACAAGTGTTCTATTGTAAACAATGGGGAAATAACCTTCAACCTAGCAGTGCTAGGACCAGCCTGAAAATCATGGTAAAAGCATAATTTAATGAATATAAGTCTCACTACAAAAATTAAGATGCTTTGTTTTAACTGAGGTTGATATTTTATATTGACCAATTTAAAATTGGTGGTTATGTTTTATGAAAAAGCAAAACGAGTCAAATTTTAACTGTTTTGCTCCAGAAATCTCTTTATTGATACCATGACATACTCCCTAAAAGAAAAAAAAAAAACAACCCTCTGAAACCATTTTACAGTTCATTTCTATCCTCTTAGCATAAGGCAATTAAGTATCTAAACATTCCTCTACCAGAGAGTTGAGATATTATACTCAAAAGCATTACATTTTATGTGATGCAAAAGACTTTAGATAAAGATCATCTAAGGGCAGGGGAGTTCTTAACTTGGAGTCTATGAGGTTTTAAAAAAAATATTGATAACTACATTTCAATATTACTTTTTCCCTTGGCAGTTCTGGGTTTCTGACACAAACACAAAAAAGGTTAAGAATCCACAATATGAAGAGCAACATGCACCTGTACCAGAATCCCCTCTACGATATCTAAGTAGTCATCTAAGCTTAGCTTGGAGACCTCCAGAGATGGGAAACCCATGGAGGTCCTATTTCACTAACCCTGATACCTCTACTGTGATTAGGAAGAGCCAAAAATCTATCTCTGCAGTTTCAAACCTAATATTCTTAGTTCTTTGTCCTGAGAACTGAACAAGTTTATTCCCCAAGCACAACACTGTTTACTTCCTATACTGCTCCCTAGCTTTAGAGGCCAAGAGGTCACTATATTCCTAGCTTCCCCCCCCCCCCCTATTGCTTTGTATAAGTGGAAGAGAGGATAATAAACCTGCTTGCCAGCTGCCAAGTCAGACAGACCAGACCTGCCTCTCCTTCCAATTGTTAGTATGTCTTCCCTTCCCTGAGGCACTCACTACCTTTTTCACACCTCAGCACTACATTTGTCAACAACCCCTAGCCAGAACAGCAAATACCAACCAGGTGCCTGGACTCCAATGCTGCCCTACCCAGAAAATTTTAGGTTTGGGCTTTGTTTTCCCTCTCCTATGCCTTATCAACCCAAAAGGTAAAAGATTAAGTGAAGAAAAAACATCCTCTACTTCAATTAATTCATCAAGAAGTTCAGGTAAGAGAAATGAAATCCAAATATATAGGGTACTTTATCCTGGAACATAAGTTCTCAGAGAGGGTACTTTTTTATCATACTAGAATATGATGCTAGCATGTCTGCCTCTGTAAGGATGACTTAAGGAAATGAAGACTTTCCAGTCCAGTTTTAGAGAGAACTTTCCAGTTGTTTTTCAGTTGTGTCCCACTCATTGTGATTCCATTCCATTTGGAGATTTCTTGGTAAAGATACTGGTTCCCCACCCTTGTACTGGAGTGATCTGCTATTTCTTTCTCCAGCTCATTTTAAAGATGAGGAAACTGAGGTAAACAAGGTTTAACAGGGTCATACAACTAGTAAGTGTCCGAGGAAGATGAGAAGGCCCAATACTGTACTCACTGCACCACCTAGCTCTTCAGAGAATACTTAGAATTTATCTTTATGCCAGCAATAAAGATAAATTCTTACTCAAATGTTACTGAATGGTTTGTACTTGCAATAACATTGTTTACTATTTTTCACTCTATGTGTACAATATTTCAAGCTACATTTAGGTTTTATGGCTCATAGTACGAACATGACCACTTTTTATAACATTATTTCTCTAGGGAAAGGTCTTCTACAGAACTGTATTATAAATTTGAAATGCACAGCATTTTCTTTTAAACCTGGGTGAACCGGACGTTTCTAAGGAAAGGCAATATGGAGTAGTATAAAAAGCTAAGGATTTTGAATCAGGCTCTCCAAAACACAGAAGCTATGAAATTCTAAATCTTTCCCGTGTGTGTGAAATGGAGATAATCTACTTCACAGGATTATTGTGAAGGAAGAACTTTGTAAACCTTAAACTATTACATAATGTGAATTTTTATAGTTATTAGAAAGCTTACACTCCATACTTCTACAAATGAGCATAATTATATTTTTTCTGGCCTTTTAAGAAACTGAACTGATACGGTGTCTGCATACCATGCACTGTAACTCTATATTCCTATTTACTAGAAGATATTCCTTACATTATGATATAAGGATATTAAAACCCAGGAAGGGTTCTATCTGACTTGCTCAAGGCGAGACAGGGTAGTAAATGGCAAAACTGGGATTTGAACTCAGATCCTTTCATTGCACACTGCTGTTCCCTATTGCTTATGTGCTACTATAAAGGGCAATAGGCACTTAAATGGAATGGAATAAAAAAGTCAAAAACAGAACCGAAGCAGTAACAATTAAAACAACCTATTTTTTTTCTGGACCCCCAGCAGACCTATTAATAATGTGTACTTCTCTCTCTCTTCATACACAGTTTTACTTTAAGGACAAATCAGTAACTTTATGCTGAGGCAAAAATGATATAGAAGACATTTCTTGACCTTAGAAGATGATATTTAGGAGAGGAGGGGGAGGGAAGGAAGGATGGTAAGTGGTGGGAGGATGCCCAAATGGACAAGGTAATTGGAAAGAGAGTGTTTTAGAGCTTCAGAGGAAGTGATATTTAAGCTTAGCAGTGAAAGAAGAAAAGAATTCAGAGTAAGATTGAGGAAGTGCATTCCAGCGTACGAGGCAGAAGCAATCTAGTTTTGGGCAACTACTAGGAAATGCCTTTTGTCTTAAACAGATTGTGTAAAAGAGAGTAATGTAAACAAAATAAAGATAGGAAGATCGGCTGGGTGCTGTTACGACAGAGGGGAGGGTAGATCTAATACAAGACTACAGATATATTTTATTTTAGAAGCAATACTTTGCATTGGGGCCTAAAAAAAGGCCATTTCTGTCCTAGAATGAATAAAAAGTTCCATTTTAAAATATGATCTAGAAACAATTTGTCAAGTAAATGGTCAACTGTTCTGAGTTTCAACAAATTATTTAACTGCACAGGAATACTGTGATGGGAAAATACACTCCACTAGAAATTGTTCACCATGACAGTTCCACTGTGTCACATGTGTGGAAACTGGGTGCCAATGTAAAGAGTATATAGTATCCACACTAATACATTGTTGGTGGAGCTGTGAAATGGTACAACCATTTGGGAAATCGATTTGGAATTATGACAACTACGTACATGCTGGAGGTGATAGGAAACCACCAGGGTAGGGGTGGGTGGGTGGGAGTGACATGGTCAGACCCATGGTTTAAGATGATCCCTTGACAGCTGAGGGGAAGATGGACTTCTGAACCACTTGGTTAAACGAGAACTGTAGTCAGTTCTTGGTAACTACTGACTTGATAAAATAATATATCCACTGAGAGGACTAGACTTATAGTCAAGAAATATCTAGATTCCTAATTGTGTCTGATACTTACTAGCTTCATGATCATGGACAAGTCACTTGACCTCTACCAGACTGAGAAACATGCTTTGTAAACCTAAGAACACTATATAAACATGAGTTATAAAGCAATTATCTGCTAATGTTTTAAAACATTTGTATATCAATGTACCTTAGATTCAACTTATACACAAAATTATTAAGGATATTCTTCATATAACACATTAAGTATACAGAGATAAAAAACTTCAGAAGAAAGTTGCTCATGCCGACATGTTCACGCTGCACAAGATTATCATTGTCACATAAACTATCTTGGATACATTATGTTTGGAAAAAACTTAAGCTAAAATATTTAAAGCAACACCAATGAAGTGGGCTGAAGATCAACTGACCTCCGTGGTTCCTTCCAATCCTATGATATCAAAGTAGATGCCATTTTAAATGATCGTGTCACAGGGTTCGGCAACTATACCTGTC